GGGGAGGGTAAGGAATATTATCAAAACACATTGTACAAAATTCCCAAAGAACTAATAAACATAAGAAAACAAGGATTCACTTATCTTTATGTGTATGTGCTTGCGTTTGTACATATGAATGTCATATTATGTGGCTATCCACAGAGGTCAAAAAGGGGTGCTGGATCCCCTAGAGCTGGCCTTAGGAGCTGCCTACTATGGGAGCTAAGAATCAAACTCAGTTCTCTGGAAGAGCAGCCAGTGTTTTAAAGGGCTGTGCTATCTCTCTTTCTTAAAGAATAATTTTTAAAAGACAAAAAGTTGTTTAAGTATCTCTTTTAAACATTCCAATTCTGTTTTCAAAGTAAGTTGACATTTGTTGATGATAACAAGCCAGGTAGACCTCCATGGCCTTTCTTTTCTTTCCTTTCAGTTTTCTTTGTATATTTGTTTTTTTTTAATTTAAATTTATTTATTTATTAAGGATTTCTGCCTCGTCCCCGCAACCGCTTCCCATTTCCCTCCCCCTCCCCCGATCAAGTCCCCCTCCCTCATCTGTTCGAAGAGCAATCAGGGTTCCCTGACCTGTGGGAAGCCCAAGTACTGCCCACCTCTATCCAGGTCTAGTAAGGTGAGCATCCAAACTGCCTAGGCTCCCACAAAGCCAGTACGTGCAGTAGGATCAAAAACCCACTGCAATTGTTCTTGAATTCTCAGTATTCCTCATTGTCCGCTATGTTCAGCTAGTCCGGATTTATCCCATGCTTTTTCAGACCTAGGCCAGCTGGCCTTGGTGAGATCCCAATAGAACATCCCCATTGTCTTAGTGTGTGGGTGCACCCCTCGTGGTCCTGAGTTCCTTGCTCGTGCTTCGTCTCCTTCTGCTCCTGATTTGGACCTTGAGATTTCTGTCCGGTGCTCCCGTGTGGGTCTCTGTCTCTGTCTCCTTTCATCGCCTGATGAAGGTTAATATTCCTGAGGATGCCTATGTGTTTGTCTTTGGATTCACCTTCTTATTTAGCTTCTCTAGGAACATGAATTATAAGCTCAATGTCCTTTATTTATGGCTAGAAACCAAATATGAGTGAGTACATCCCATGTTCCTCTTTTTGGGTCTGGCTTACCTCACTCAGGATAGTGGTTTCTATTTCCATCCATTTGTATGCAAAATTCAAGAAGTCCTTGTTTTTTACTGCTGAGTAATACTCTAATATGTATATATTCCATACTTTCTTCATCCATTCTTCCGTTGAAGGGCATCTAGGTTGTTTCCAGGTTCTGGCTATTACAAACAATGCTGCCATGAACATAGTTGAGCATATACTTTTGTTGTATGATAGGGCCTCTCTTGGGTATATTCCCAAGAGTGGTATTGCTGGATCCAGGGGTAGGTTGATCCCGAATTTCCTGAGAAACCGAAACACTGCTTTCCAGAGTGGTTGCACAAGTTTGCATTCCCACCAGCAATGGGTGAGTGTACCCCTTTCTCCACAACCTCTCCAGCAAAGGCTATCATTGGTGTTTTTTATTTTAGCCATTCTGACAGGTGTAAGGTGGTATCTTAAAGTTGTCTTGATTTGCATTTCCCTGATCGCTAAGGAAGTTGAGCATGACCTTAAGTGTCTTTTGGCCATTTGAAGTTCTTCTGTTGAGAATTCTCTGTTCAGATCAGTGCCCCATTTTATAATTGGGTTGATTAGCCTTTTACGGTCTAGTTTCTTGAGTTCTTTATATATTTTGGAGATCAAACCTTTTTCAGTTGCAGGGTTGGTGAAGATCTTCTCCCAGTCAGTGGGTTGTCTTTTTGTCTTAGTGACAGTGTCCTTTGCTTTACAGAAGCTTCTCAGCCTCAGGAAGTCCCATTTATTCAATGATGCCCTTAGTGTCTGTGCTGCTGGGGTTATACATAGGAAGTGGTCTCCTGTGCCCATGTGCTGTAGAGTACTTCCCACTTTCTCTTCTATCAGGTTCAGTGTGTTCAGACTGATATTGAGGTCTTTAATCCATTTGGATTTGAGTTTTGTGCATGGTGATAGATATGGATCTATTTTCATTCTTCTACAGATTGACGTCCAGTTTTGCCAGCACCATTTGTTGAAGATGCTCTCTTTTTTCCATTGTATACTTTTAGCTCCTTTATCGAAGATCAGGTGTTCATAGGTTTGTGGGTTAATGTCAGGGTCTTCTATTCGATTCCATTGGTCGACTTCTCTGTTTTTATGCCAATACCAAGCTGTTTTCAATACTGTAGCTCTGTAATAGAGTTTGAAGTCAGGGATGGTAATGCCTCCAGATTTGTAAAACACAGAATTTACTACTTAGTCCAAGAACTTAGGATCTTCCCACCTGAGTCTCCTAAAAGCTAGAGTTGCAGTTATGCTCCTTGCTGCTTTCTAATTATCCATATAATATTAATATTTCTTCAGCCATTTTCTTCTCATTTCTTTAAAATTTGTATGTACACTTTTAACTATATATTAAGCAGAAGTTAGAATGCAATAATTTTTTGTTTTCTCTATTGCAACATCCTAAAAGTATACTGCTTTTTGAATTTTACAATATGGAGGATCTCATTCAGATGTTAAGGTAGACAACATATCCTAATACAAATGGAATAGATTGGGTTTTGTGTCAGGTAGAAGAGAAAGTCTAGGGTTCAACATGGCATAAGCACCCATGTATGTGCATGTGAACATGTATGTGTATAAAATCCAAGACCTCTGCACAAACTCAGTAATTTTCAGAGCCAACATCCTTGGTAGCTGGACTAGAAACATTGCTCTATGGTGAAGGATTAGACATATTTGCATTCTTAATCTGTTTCTGGTTGAAACAAAAAAAGCAATCAAATGTGGCTCCTGCCCTTTCCTGATCACGGGTTTTAAGTATTCCCTTTAAGTCCAGCACTCAGGAGGCAGAGGCAGCATAATTTTGTGAGGCATAACTTTGCTTTACAATGAGGCCCCGTCTCACAAGCAAACAAGTAAGCAAGCAAACATACGGCAAAACAACAACAAAATCCCCAATCAAAACAAAATGCCCTTAATCACAGTGTTTCCTTTAAGGCTGGAATTCACAGTCAGCAGTGTACCATGTCGCCTCCAAAATATTCTAGTTGAACATCCCCAGGAATCTGAATTTGACAGAAACATGAACAATAAGCTAAAACCCAGCACAGTTTATACTTTGAGGAATGAACATTAAACCCAGATCAGAAACATTTTCCAGAAGTAAAATTCCAAGAAACACATATAAACTCAGTAGTTAAACTATTGGAAGCACTGATGGGAAGGGGAAATTACAAAATCAGACGCATAAAACAGGAGAGGGCTGGAGATGCCAGGTGCAGAATATAAACCATGCTGACTGTAGTTACAGGGATAGTGAAATGCATTAAAGGAACAAGATTTTTGCAAAATATGGCCATGAAGAAAATATACATGAAGAACAATGAGTTACCAACCAAAAAATGCAATCACTGAACTAAGAAAATTCGTGAGATGGAAAATTTGAAAGGTGACATGACGTTGGTGGCTCAAAATTCAACCAGAGAGACTCTCAAGAAGGAAGAGGGTCAGATCGGTCTGGGGATGGGATAACACATGTGTCCTTTGTTTCCAGGAGAATGAAGGGTGTCATGAAATTGTATAGAGGAGGTAGGGGTGGTTAGAGACAGCATTTGAATAATGACCATGTGGTATATACACATGATGGAATATTGCTTGGTCTTGAAAAATACATTCTGTTATTTGATTCAACATAGACAGATTTAGAGGATATGAAGTAAAAGCAACCAGAGACAGACAAATACTATGGACTCTACCTCATGTATTAGTTTTAATGTCATCTTGGTTCAATCTAGAGTATCTAGGAAGAGAGAACCTTAACTGAAGAATTGCCTTCATCAGATGCCCATGGCCATGCCAGTGAAAGATTGCCTTCATGATTAATGTAGCAGGGTGAAGATACTGTGGGCAGTACCATTTCCTGGGCTGGTAGGTGTGGTTAATAAAAAGCTAGTTAAGAATGAGCCAGTGAGCAAGCCAGTATGCAGCATTTCTCTGTATCAGGTTCCTGCCTTGAATTCAGGCCTTGATTTTCCTCAACAATAGATTATGATTTGGATGTGTTACTTTGATAAATTCTTTTCTCTCCAAGTAACTGTTCTTGTCACAATCTTCTTGTCATAGCAAGGAAAAATATTAGAATATATGAAATTCAAAATAATCAAACTTATCAATGCACAGAGTGAAATAATGATTAGAGAAGGCTAGGAAAGTGTAGGAGAAATGATCAAAAAGTAAAAACATCCCATCCAGGAGAATTACAGTCTTTTGCAGTGGGGGGGTGGGGGGGTGGGAAGAGTTTTAGTACATCGCCTTGTGAATAAAGTCAATAATAGAGCACTCTGTGTTAAAAGTTGCATAAGTATCTGGGTTGATTTAATCATTTGGATTGGTCTAATCATTCCACATCATTTTCATAAACCATAACCTTACTTTGTATTCTGTGAATTTATATAATTATAAATGGTCATTTTGCAATTTTTAAAAGGAAGGAGATTGGGAATAAAGACCAGTTTAATCAAGCAAAAACAGAATTCATGTCAGTAGACTTTCATGCAAGGAGCATTCAATGAACATATACTCCAGAAAGGAGAAAAAAAATGCTGCCTTGTTGTATTTACCTAGTACTATAAGCATTTTAGAGTGCTATTTTAAATCAGTTTCCTTTCTAACAGCAATATAAAATTTCCAAAGCATTAGAATTTCTAATTAATGCAGCATGAATTAATCTGGCTTAATTATTTGCCCTGTGAGTTTGCATTCCGTGTCTCCATTTATGCCAAATGTCAATCACTGGGAAGTTTTATAGTAGAAATCTTTTAATTATTGATACAGGCTGTATTGTATCATATGAAATTATTTTGTATAGTTTAGTGTGATAGTCCAAAATAATACAACTAATCTCCAAGACCAAAAGGTTGTGAATAAGTAATAATACCTAATTCCCAGATTATATAAATTGGAACATTTATTAAAGAGTTCATTACAATTAGAATTACACAGTTTATACTAAAGACCAATACTACCATCAATGCTATAATGACTTCAACATTTCCCTCTAAAATAAATCTAATACTAATGTCTAGAGCAATTGCTGAATACATAATAGGTTTTGTGTTTTCTTATATATGAAATTTTAGCAGTATTTAACTTGAACACGAAAGGTTTTTGTATAACAAGAAATTTTGTTCTATTGAAATGTAGAATACACAAGTTATAAAAATCATTTATGGGCAGTTAAATATTGAAGGGAAGTTGGAACATTTAATCTATTGTAACACTCATTTAATGCAAAGGTACGCTGGTAATATAGACATTATTGATATTCCACTTGAAGGGAACATTTCATACAGTGTAACTCCTGGGAATTAATTTTCCTCTCTTCTGAGAATTTGGAAGTTGTTTGGCTGTCCAAAGACACACTTTTCCAGCAGTACATACAATCCTATTAGAGTATTTCAGTAACTTAAAAAAAAATCACCCAGGGCCAAATTTATTACTGGAAGAGCACATTCACAACCAATGATAAAAAGCACAGTAAGTACAAAGTGGAAATTGTTACTTCGAACTTACCCTGAAATGACTGCCCCGACAGTTTTTAGGTCACCGCCTTGCTTTATCTTATGATAGGCTTCGTGACCAAGAACAAACTGAATCAATCTCAGATCAAATGTAAATTTGCCATTTTCAAACAAAGAAGCATAGCTGTCGCATTTGCAGGCGTACAACAAACCACAGAGCTCAGCGCACGTAGCCTCACTCTGATTAAGTTTCTCTGCCATCATTTCAGCTTTTCCAAGATTTTGCCTTGTACCTGAATGAGACATCAGAATCGGGTTGCTGAATACCGAACAACAAACGACTGTGGTTTTGTCCTACAGGCTCCTTGTCAATTATTTCTAAATCAAAATAAGTTAAAAGTATAGCTAATAGTAGCTTCATTTCAATAATTGCAAAATATCGGCCTGGACATTTGCTGGCTCCAAATCCAAATGGCATAACATAATACTTCAGCTTTTTCCCTTCCTTGAGAAATGTTGTTTTCTTCTTGCCATCTTCTAGGAATCGATCAAATCTAAATTCCTATAAAGAATAATAGACACTGTTAAAATTAAAATTTTACTTAAATTAGTTTGAGTTGGGTCTACTAGGTTGTTGTCTCTCCTTGTCTATCTTGCTGAGCAAGGTTCCGTTTTTGGTCTGAAAACATACAGGAGGAAGTAAAACTTGAATACGTGAAACAGCATACTCAAACTTTCAGAAAAATTCAAATGTTATAGGGAACACCTACATTCAAATACCTAAGGCACTTATCCGCTCCAATTTCTCTTGTCTTTTCTTAAGTGGGGTCTGTGCTGCCACTTACTCCTGAAGGCTGAGTAATTGACAAAAGAAAAGAAGTTTACTTTGACTCTTGATTCTAGAGTCCAAAAATCTAAGAGCCTGGAGTTAATGGGGCTCTGAGCTGCTCCTTGCAACGGGAAATGACAGGACGATTTGGTGCATTGGGAAGAGTAAAGATAAGAGAGGCAGTCTATGGCTTTAATAAGCCAGTTTTCTGGCAGCCAATATGGTGTCAAGAAAGTGATAACAAGTAACGTGGCAAAGGCCTTACCCCTAACCACCTAACCACCAAAATGGCCTTTAGATTTTAGGATGAGTTTCGGATGGGATGCTCATTAATCAAATCACAGTGATTACAGTGAGTGGTTTTTTTTTTTAATTATAAAGACTACATCTGTCTCCATTTCTGTCCTCTCTGATGTGTTTGCAATAAAGATCATTAATATACCAATTATGGGTAGAAGGGGTCTCCTATACGGCTGCCATTGTCACTATGACATAATACATTTGGGTGGCCACAGTTTATATTCATTTATCCTCCCAACTATCTATTGATAGACAAATATGAATTTAGGATTCAGTGCTTATGTTTGAATTAAAGAGACAAAAAATAATAAGATTCAAACATAGCCCCAGAGAGAACCTAAGTAGAAAATCAGATTTTGTCTTTTTTTTATGTTAAGGTGGATTTCTCATATGACATTTCTGTTAGAGTGCACTCTGCTTGGATTAATTCTAGATAACAGAAATTTATGACATATTTTCATAAATAAGTTATACTACTTGCTAAAGAAGATTAGAGAGCTGGTTATTTTAGGGTAGTTGACCTCAGCCTTAATTTTGCCATGCTGCCAAAATTTCCTGGTTTAACTCTCACTTGAGTTGGCTAAAGGGTACTGAGTGACCTGATTTTAGTCCATTGTGAATTAAACCATCAATTAAATTAATGCTCGTGGTTTGAATAAAGACAACCAATTATTTCATTTAATTGGCATTCGTTATATCTGTTCAACCACAACTTTGATATGAACTACATGAAATTATATATAATATAGAAATAAAGAGAGCAGGTCAGATCCAACATGTTTCAGATTATGCTGAAACACTCCAATGTGAATACATTATGAATGCATCACAAATGTTCAGACTCCTTCAATGGCAAGTTTAGTAAAGTCAGGTTAGTCACTTCCTTTATCTGGGTTTACCTTAGTTAATACTTAATTTGCTAAGCATTTGGGTTTTGAGAAAGTTTGCCCCATTCCTACTCTGTCCCGACTTGCAAGCCAGTTCAACGATGTTGACAAAATCATTTAGCATTGTATAGTTGCTTTATTTCATAACAAGTGATACCTTAAACACGCCAGAGTAGAAGTGTGTTTTACCACTGTTAGGGATTGTATCCAAAGTGACCTATCCAATGCAGAACTGAAAATATCTGCTCATTTCTACAGTAAGCACAGTGGTACTCTCTGTGCACATGCAGTGTTTCTAGAGAAAGAGAGGAGCTACATGGAACCCTCTTGTGGTGATCTTCCATTCTGGGGCTTATGACTCCGTCCTGCACGCAGCACTGATGCACTTTTCTTCCTGTTGACTAACTTAGAAGATTGCTCTCTTTCCCACAGCCTCCTGCTCAGGCCAAACAGCTTAGGTAAATTTCGACATGAAGCACAATCCCAGAGGAAAGAGAATTCACTGTAGTTCTGTTGTTTGTGCCAGAAAAAGCAAAAGAGAAAACTTAACATAAGTTATGACTTCATGGCATCTATCCAGATAATGTAAAGTAAGCCTGAAGCTACCAAGGCTGCCCTGTCCTTTCTCAGTGACCTCGCTGGCAGCCCTGTGAGAGGCTAGGGCACCTCCCTCAAACTTCTAGCAGATCGTTAATTTTTCCCTTCTACTGTTCTGTCCTTCTTTCTTGGTTTCCTCAGAATTAATATCTCAGAAATTTCCATTTAATGGTTTATTTAGTAAAATTAAAAGGGAAACTATTAGTAGCATTTGCTCTGTGACTGTCATCATGAGAATACAAATATATAAAATTGAATTAAATTATATATATACATACACACACACACATATATATATATATATATATATATATATATATATGTGTGTGTGTGTGTTTTTCAAGACAGGGTTTTTCCTTAGCTTTGGAGCCTTTTCTGGAATTAGCTCTTGTAGACTAGACTGGCTTCGAACTCGCAGAGATCTGCCTGTCTCTGCCTCCCAAGTGCTGGGATTAAAGGCGTGCGCCAGTGCACCACTACCGCTCAGCTATTTTTTGTTTCACTGCCTGTGCATAGAGAACCCTGACAGGTCCATGTTAGGCAGGCCCATAATCTCCTTTATGAGTTAGTTCAGTTTTCCCCCTAAAGGGAAGCATGTTAGAATCCCACCTGAGCTATTGAAGAAAACAGGAATGTAAAGCAAAGGTCAACGAGCTCCACTGGAAGGTGCTGGAAGGACTGGGTGTGAAAGCCACCAAACTTCCCTGCTGCCCACTGGGGGTTGTACTGGAACAACCTCTGACTGACTTGGGGTTTAGGAATTGGAAACAATCCGTCCAACGGCACAGAGGAAAGAAAGCAGCACAGAGAGACAAATGGCTTGTGATGAGTCTCTCTCTGGACCTCATCATGCAAAGGTGAGGGAGTCTAACTGCAACTGGAAGGGAAGAGGGCAGAGTGAGGGACTCCCCCGGCATCCTCTTCATCTCCCTCTCACAGCCTCCAACACAGGGACACCCCCTTGGCAGCGTTCCCCATATGCTTATTGGACTACTGAGCAAATGACAGCAATGCCAATTTTAAAAATCCGATTCCTGGTCTTAGAGAAGATAGAGAACTGAGTGTGAATGTGAGCGCACAGAGAATGGGAAGTGGCTGCGGATTCAGCATAGACAAATAGCAGAAACTGTACAACACCGAGGTGTTGTGGGAATTCATTCAGCCAATCGCCTTTTAGATACCAGTCCATTAGGCTGTGATCTGAGGTACAGACAGGAAGCTCGCTTAGCCCCTTTTCCTTTCCCTTGGTTGGTAGTCAGAGTTCCGTCCGGGGCTCCCAGCGCCCAAATAGTAGAGGAACACAGTGACTCTTTTATTGTGGGTGATCCCCAATAAACATTTGTTATCCTTTATTACGGGCTCTCATGGACCTTCCTTTAATTATGCAGCATTCTGGCACCCAACAAGGGGATTGAACCCAATGTTCTGGGATTAAGAATCCCATGCTCTACCAACTGAGCTAGCCAGACATTACAAGCATATTAGGGGGTTCTCGTGGACTTTCTTTTAATTACACAACACTGAAACACTTGGAGCCCAGTTTGGATAGGAGATCCATTTTTCTGGATTGAGAGGAACTTTTAATATACACAGCAAAGGAGAATTGCATAACAACCTCATTTGTGTTTTCTGAATACTGTGTTTAGTTCAGTTGAACAGACATTTAATTTTTTAAGCATTTCCTGTATAAGAAGCATTGCTACAAAAGCATATAATACATCCCTGCTGAGGTGGATCACGTGATATGTTCATGTCTTTAGTCCACTAAGTTCATGACTTGAGTGTAGGGATCTAAACTAGACAAAAGATAGCACCCCCTAGTAATGAAACCAAACAAACAAACAAACCTCTCAGTGTTTGGAAAAGCTAAGGGAATGCCAGTGCTGCCCGTGGATTCCAGTCTTCCTGGAGACAGGATTTTATGGCAGAGAAGTCCTTTTTTACCTCTGTGGTCTGGGTTCAAATCAATCATGAGTTGTTGCCAGACAGTACCAGCTTGTGAAAGGGTATGCATAACCCTCCCAGGCTCTGCATCAGAGTCTTCTTGTTGGTAACATGTTACCTCCCCAGTATAGTAGTGTTTGCACCAGAAGCAATGATTCAATGCTACAGATTATAGATTTCAAAATTGCTTCATCCAGACACAAGGATTTTGAGATGGTAGGTATGAAATGTCACTGTGCTGGCAATGGCAGAAACTCCCTTAATATAAAAGACTTGGCTATGAGAAAAAAAAATCCATGTGATAAGGTGTATTTTGCAAACTACACAGAACAAGGGGACCTTTTACTTCTGTGTCACCATTATGTTATCAAAGGGCTTCTTGGAAGAGAGAAGGCTCTTAGGCCTCATGAGGCCTGGGCATGAGGCCCAGTGTAACTTTCTAAGCCTAACTTGAGTTTGCTGAGGCCTAGTGTAACTTTCTGAGCCTAGCTCCAGTTTGGAGACCTGTCTCTAATTACCCAACCTAGGCTGGCCTCTGCCCAGCCACAGCTGACATGGTGGAATATTATTGGCCCTTGTTCCTTGCTTTGCCTCAACCCATCCCAAGCTTCACCCCCATCACAACCCTATATAAGTCCCTGCTTGATGCCATTAAATGAGTTCCTACTTTGACAAACTCCTGACACAATGGGTCTCTCCTCAGTGCCCAGAGGGGGAGGACTGAGTTGTGACACTCACCATCCTGTTCAGCCCCAGGAAGAGTACTGCAGGTCTGGCTCTGCCCCTTCTCCCAAGTCTTTCTGCCAGAGAACCCAGCAGAAGGCCATTATGTTTTTGCTTCCTTGAGCTCTACTGAAGGCATATTCTCTATTCTTGTTGGAGATAGAGAATCATTTTTTATAGCACTTAATCACGTGTGATAACTGGTCTATTCAAAAAGCATTGATGATAATTAAAATAATCCTAACATTGAAGTTCCCATAGTGATTGATTTTCTTCCAAGGGCTTTCCAACATATTTAGCATTTTATTGCACCCACAACCTTCTGAAGATGGGACACACTGCATGAAGTTAAACAAGACATTTCCATAGCAGAGCTTTTCTGGAATATTCTGAAGGGGCTGTGCTTCAAAAATGTCATGTTACTGTGTGTTTACCTCAGGAGTTGCATGGCGATAGTGACTCACCGACATCTTAAATGGTGCTGTGTGTTCTCTAAAGCCTAATACTGTCAACAGATTTCCCTGTTCTTGACAGCTTTTGAAAACTGGGAGCATGGGGGTCAGGGGAGAAGGAAAGGCAGAAGGGGAGGAGGGAGAAAGAATGGACCAGGGAGGCAAACATGAGGGAATGGGATAGTCAAGATGGGGGAAGAAAAGAGATGGAGAGCAAGGAAAGAGACTGTTGACTGAGGGAGCCATTCTGGGGAGAGCAAGAAACCTGGCACTCGAGAAATTCCCAGGAATCCACAAGAATGACCCCAGCTAAGACCCTAAGCAGTAGTGGAAAGGGTGCCTAAACTGGCCTTGTCCTGTAGTCATATTGATGAATATCTTAAATGTCACCATAGAATCTTTATCCAGGAACTTATGGAAGCAGAGGCACAGAGCCACAGCCGGAGCACTGGGCTGAGTCCCAAAGTACAGTTTAAGAGTGGAGGAGTGAGAATCTGAGCTAAGAGGTCAAGACCATGATGGGGACACCCACTGAAAGAACTTACCTGAGCTAATGGGAGCTCACCAACTCCAGCCAGACAGGGAAGGAACCAGTATAGATACAAACTAGTCCCTCTGAATGTGGGTGACAGTTGTTTGGCAGGGGTAGACTGTGGGGCCACTGGCAGTAGCACCAGGATTTACCCCTACTGATTGGATTGCCATTTTGTAACTCATCCTCTTTGAGGGATACCTTGCTCAGCCTAGATATAGTAGGGAGGGCCTTGGTCCTTCCTCAAAGCAATGTGCCTTATCCTCTCTGATGGGGGGTAGGAGGGAAGGTGTAGGGAATGGGAGAAGTGCAGGGAGTGGCAACTTGGATTGGTATGTAAAATGAAAAAAAAAAGAGATTTTTTTAAAAGTAAAATAAAAGTCTTACGATTAAAAGAAAAGAACCAAAGAAAATACATTTATATATCACCTGACAGTGCTAAGTGTTTAGCAAATGTTTACAGAATAAAAAATAATAGCTGGCAAAATCAGATAAAAGAAATGGTTCCAAAGCATTTTTTGTACACAGAATGATCATCATTCTATTACTAATTTCAAAAAGAAAACAACAACAACAACAAAAAAAAAAAAACCACAATAACACTGTAGGAAAAATTACCTGATGCTAACACAAGTCAGGTATTACTAATGATGCTAAAACCTACTAAATAACAGATTCACTGAATATCCTAATGATTTTAAATTACTTTTCACAATATTGAAATTTTATTCTCCCAGTGATTTTGTGTGAGACAAACCTTTTGTTTACTATTAGTATCATTTGGGTTCCACAGGGCAATATATATACACACTCCCTTTCCTTAATGCCCTCCTCCTATGGCTTCCTCTTGCCTCCCACCCCCTATCTTTCTCTTTCAGTTTTGCAATAAAGCCAAGGTTGTGGTTGAATTTGTTAATTTCCTATACCAACCTTCCAAATGCCAGATTACAGATGTGTACCACAAATCCTTAATCAACACTCACAATTTCTTCTTTCTCTCTCTCTCTCTCTCTCTCTCTCTCTGTCTCTGTGTGTGTGTGAGAGAAAGAGAGAGAGAGAGAAAGAGAGAGAGAGAGAGAGAGAGAGAGAAAGAGAGAGGAAGAGAAAGAAAGAGAGAGAGAGAGAGAGAGAGAGAGAGAAAGAGAGAGAGAGCAGGAGCCCTGGATGGCTTGGAATGTGCTTTGTAGTCCTGCTGGCTTCAAGCATACAGAGGTCTGATGGCCTTTGTACCACCATGCCTGTCCCTAATACTCATAATGTATAATTTTGACTTTTAAATTCTTAAAGTTATCAATCAGATGGTTTTATTGTTGTTGTTTGTTTGCTTTTTTTTTTTTTCCAAGACAGAGTTTTTCTGTAGCTTTGGAGACGGTCCTGGAACTCGAACTCACAGAGATCCGTCTGCCTCTACCTTCTGAGTGCTGGGATTAAAGGCCTGAACCCTCACTGCCCAGCTCAGATTTTTTTAAAAGGGATAGAAGAATGAGATGTGGGGAAAGCACAAAGAAACATGCTCCTAAAGATGGTGGCAATTCGGTGATCATTTCTTATTTGATGACAACAATAATTCTGATTTGACTCTCATGACATGAATAATAAACTCTGTTACTAATTGAATAATCACAAAGAAAACCTGGGCAGAAGTGAAAAATTATAAGAAGGGTTGCTATTTTGAAGTTCACAAATATTTTTCTGATACTAATTTCAGTTGTGTTGTTTATTGAATACACACTAACAACTGGAATTATTCACAAATGCAGAAATGCAGCTAGTTCTCTGGAGAACACTCATCCATTGGCTGAAATTCTACATCCTTCTTGCTGTCACTGTCTGCATAAGGCCTGGCCTGAGAAACCATGGTCCTCTCCCCCTGTAATAAGACACCGGCTTTGCTGACTCAATAAATACAAACTGGCATTGCTTGTGAAGTTTGTCCTCTTATTGTTTTTCTAAATTCAACAGTATTATAATTCAGGTTGAGTGCAGAACATCTAGCTGAGGTCCTGTCTTTGAAAGCGGTCCATCTATGAAGCCTTTGAGCAGAGGACAGTCGTTTCCTCCACTAAAGGTGGACGGTAAACAGTACAAGTCAGCAGCATCCTTCATGCGAAGCACAGCAGAATATAACTGCACTCCATTTGCATGCAGGGGGTGACTCTCTTAAGTGGTATTAAGGGATGAACCGAGGTGGATTAATTTCCAGTCTTTGATATTCATTAACTCCAGCTTCGGAAAAAAAAATACAAGGAGATGACACAATTACCCTCGGAGCTTCACCCGAGAGCAGCAGCTTTGCAATTTGGAGTTCATAGTGCCATGGTAATTGATCAAGCAGGGGCACATACCTTCAGCTAAAGGGACTTAACTACTATTTGTTCCTAACGATAGTGAGGATGGTATTTGACGTTTGAAGTCAGCTTCACTTTGGAGGTGCTTAGCAAACTAGTTACTATTATTTAATTTTTAGGCCACATATCAATAGCCAGCCCTCTTGGGTTTCAGTAATTGCTTGTCAAAGAGACTCTTAATTCAGTAGCTAAAAGCAACCGTGACCAAGGTAAAAGTGTCCATTTCATTTGAATTAAGCAGCAAATAATTAGACTTATCTGAATTTTTGTTCACAAATCACACAACCTGTCAAAGGCAGATTCTTGGGGTGGGGGGAACCTGTAACAGCAAAAATCTTCCTATTAGAGGGAAGTACAGAAGTCATCACCCAGCTGCTTTAAATCTCCAGGGAGAGTAGACTAAAGGATGAGAAAGGTGGGGGGTGGGGTGGGGGAGGGGTGCTTTCCTAGCAGTCATAACAGACATGATGTTAATTTACCTCTGGAGCCTCAAAGACTTCTGGGTCCATGTGCAGGATGGGAGGAAAGATAGCCACAAAGTCTCCCTTTCGTAGACAGTAGTTGCTGGTCTCTAAGTTGAAATTCATATCCTCTTCAACTTTCCTGACGATGGTGGAGTGTGAACACAGCCGCAGAACCTCGAGGACCGTGCTGTCTGAAGGAAACAAACAACAGCTCTTTGTAACAAGAGTGCTTTGAGAAGCTCTCACTGCAGCCTGTTAGGACACATTACCAGCAACCTCGCCTCGTAGGGAAAATACTTCTCTTCACATTCATTGCAAGCTAAGAGGAAGTCAAGGAGACTGTGGATGCTGAGAGTAAAGGACCTGGTGGCTTTGCCCCGACATCGTTTGGGGGAGTTTCAGGCGGGAGAGAGCCCTGCTGTCTATGGACAGAGATAAGAAAGACTGCTCTCCAGGAAGGGAATCATGTGTTTGGTGCACAAACAGGGTTACGCCTCCAGTCTCTAGAGAAGTGAGGTTTTTAAAGCCAGGTTTAGCTAGTTAACAGCACTTAGGCGGTATGCAGTAATTGTAGTAGGTGCAGTTGAAGACAGTGTATCACTAAATTTCTCTATGCTAGCTGTAAATAAAATGAGTCAGCATTTGCTGGAAAATTTTCAAAGGAACACATTTTTATCGGATTCGGAAGAAAACCACATTTTTCTCATCATCCAGGGAGAACAACATTCACCAGCATCATATCCTGGAAGATTCCAGAAGCCGAATGTCCTTGCTATCCCAGTGGCCTTCACCTTTTGCTCCTAGCACGGCAGATTTTATGGCTAATTTCCGGCGATTTATACTGGCAGTTTGAGGAGGAATTCCTTTGGGAATAATATGCATAATTTGCATAAATCATTCTGATAGCATGCATATCAGTGTGTAGCTCCTGTCCAGGGCTGCATCTCTCCCTTCATAATCAAAACTGACTATGTTTCCACCAGCGTGAATGGATCCTGGAATATAAAGCTTGATTCTTTCTAATCAGCAGTGTGAATGCGCTCCTAGGGGAGCTCCCCCCTTTTACATGATAATAAATGATTGTGTTTATGACTTGCAATTTAGAAACCTCGCACACATACACATGTTTAGAGCCCGGTTTCTTGGTGCTGAGCACAGTGCTGCCATAGCCAGTCCCCAGTTATTAGGTTATTGAAGGCAGACCCATTAGTGGAGGCTTGCATACAGAGAAACACAGAAATAAACATTATTTTGTAAATAGGTAAAATGAAAACCTCTGAACAGCCGGCACAGGGACATGAAGTAGCTTTGGGTGCCTTCTCCCAGCAGGTTTTTCCTTAAGCATGCGTTTGTCTAAAGAAATGAGGCTGCGGTCAGTTTCGTGTCGGTAGTGGGGTGATTCAATGTGGCGTATAGTGAGGCTGTGCATATTCTCTTAGACTGCCTTCGTTATTCTAATCAGGCAGAGTCAAATCGGTTTGCTGCTGATGGGGCTAGAAGAGAACTTTGGTTTGGGAACATGGACTCTATTGCGGATAGCCACGAGGCACCTGACACGACAGATTTTGGCTGGCAAGACACCAACAACCAACATTTCTATGGTGAAAATCAAGGAATCACTTCCCATGTCCCGCTGCTGGCCCTGTTGGACCAACAACAGCGTAGCATCATTTTAACATGTGGTATGAGATAGTAGCTGACATATGTAGTAGTTCTGTTCACACAACAAGTCCAGTCGGGTTTGGGAAGAAGAAATATACAAAAGCAAAACAATGCTTGGGGTGGCTGCTGTGACAGAGTAGGCATTTAACAGTCCGAATAACATGGTCATATCTGATTGGCTGGTGTGCTCTTGGGAAGCATGGCAGCTTGTGCCCACTGCAGTATCACAAATGACAATTGGGCAAGCATATCTTATGCAGAAGTTAATCACAATAATGGAGCTCAAAGTGTGGCTCAGCAGTCAGATCGTAAGTGACAAATCTGTTTTACCTTCCAGTACCAGTTATGAGTGCAAGACGAGGCTGGCTCTTGCTCTGAGCGATCATGCCGATGATCATTAGGTGACAGAAGTAATGAGTTCTGTTATTATCGCCAGCGGAGAGGGGAGCTTGTGGGGTCTGCAGTACAGAGCATCGAGACACAAAAGCCAGCCGCATTTCCACCAGCCCCAGAATGAACCGGGGGCAGAGCTATACGTTGAGAATGACAGTAGCACAGAGCACAAAGCGTGCAGCTTCTCCTTGTAGTTGTCATAGTAGAGCAGACACCAGGCAGTGCCACTGACAGACCAGCTGGGCCCTGGGAGGACTTCCATGCTACACCGGGAGGTACAGTAAATTATCCTGCGCAGTAGAGCAACATCTGTTTCCGTGCTAGTGCCGAACAAACAAGGCAGTTTAAAACATACCAAGGGATAACCAAGCAACAACTGAGCATGACCCTCATTTTTCCCCCTTCTCACACATGAGGTGCTAAACTTCATTGTGCAAGCATTCCATGAAAGAGAAGCCAGGTTTTCATTTGATAAGGTGTTGTCAGAGAGATTTTTACATAGTTCCAAAATGGAAAGAAAAAGCTTATAGTATTTTTATTCTTAGAATTGTCCCCCTTCTATCTTCATTTCTTTTATACTAAAGCTAGCACTTGGTTCTCAATTTGCTCTAGAATTAAAAAAAAAAGCCCAACTTTCCATACACTTATAAATATTCAGTCTTTAAACCTAATTTGCTATACTTAGTTCACATGCCTTCAAGCATTTGTCTTCCAATTCCCACTGAATAAATGCGTACTAATGAGAACTAGAGCAAGCTGCCGAGGCAAAGCTGGGTGACTGGGGTCTGGCCTGCCACCAGCTTGTGATAGGCGGGCAAATTGAGCTAAAATGAAAAGTCTTGTCAGCTAAAATTCAACATGGTAGCCAAACAGCAAGCTGTCAATCATCCATCCAAAACAACGGACTATAGGTAATAAAAGGTCACTGTGACTCATTAGTGCACACTTGGCTTACATATGGAAGCTAATTTTAATTAAACATGATCTCTATCTGTAAATGTTTTATAAAACTTACTGTGCATAATGGACTGGTAATTTATGCAAACATTTAGCAGGTAATGGGACCGTCTAATTATTAGACTGTATTGTAGAAAAATGACTATCGAGAATGCAAATATTTGGGGGATGAATTTACACAGGCATTGCAAGATGCCAACAGTCATAGCTGTGGTTAAGAGAAGGCTTCTTGTAGAACTGCTAAGAACTGAGTTCCACTGACTGCAATCGACAAGACAATCGGGTCACAAAATTTTGACGATGAACTTAACAATTCCGAGTCTGTGCTGCCTTGTTTACCTGGTTGGAAAAAAAAATGAGTTTCTTTTTTAAGATAGAAAACGAAAATGATTAAAAGTCCCTTCTAAGTAAAGAGCTGGGCACGTGTTAAGCTGTGATGTTTTACAATCCAACTGGAGGAAGAAGACAAATGAAGGGAATTGCTGGGAGGAAAAGGCACATCCGCTTTGTCTTCAGAATAATTCACAAATGAGTCCCACTTGCAGATTTCAAGTGCCAAAGCAGATCACGCTAATCAATAAAGCCTGATGCAATGCAAACACAGAGAAGCACATGCAGGTTTCCGCCTCATACTTAGGCCATGTCTGTATATGTGGAATGAATGTACTGTGACATAGCTGGACTGCTAATTTGGGTCATCTTAATGATTGGTGCAGGCTGGCGTGCCATCTGATTAGCCATGGCGATCAGTGGGTAGCAGCGATGGCAGGAGCGAAATGAGCAGCCAGCCCCACTATAGTCACTGGGGCTGAACACATGGATGCACTTGAAAAGAAAATGCCTGGGAAAGGGGAAGGGAACGGACTTGAAGGTGTGGTGAAAGGCAGCTCGGCTCAGGATGCAACACACATGCCTGGCTGTCTTTCTATAGCTGTTTTAGACAGATGCGAAAGTAAATGAGAAATTGTGATAATTAATATAGAATTTGAAGAAAAATCATAAATTTCTGGATCAACAATTGTATATTTGAATAAGGCTAAAAATAAACCCGAATTGGTACAAATGCCCACCTTCACACTGCATTGCAGAAACAGGCTTCGGTTTCTGCTATTTATGCCTTCTGCTGTATATTTAGACACATGGAAGTTAAACATTTGTATGCTCGATAGAATTTTGTGAAGGTCTTACTCTGCTCAAAGTACTGGGGCATGGTGACTGGAGGAAATAATGCAACATGTGATTTGACCTGCACTCATGCAACAAACTGAAAATTCAAAATTGAAAATTACATGGAAGCAAGAGGTTCCAAAGTGAGGACTTAAAATTGTTTCCTTACTTATTCCCCCCTCTCTCTTTCTCTACAGGGTGTGTGTGTGTGTGTGTGTGTGTGTGTGTGTGTGTGTGTGTGGTGTGCACAAATGACCAAATGTACAAATGTGTGAAGGTCCAACTCATGGAACCCAGGGATGGAACTCTAGTTGTCAGGGTTGATGGCAGGTGCCTTTATCAACGGAGCCCACTCACGGGCTCTCACCCCACTACTTTAGATGTTGAATACTTTACTTCTTAAATTGACAAAGACAGTGAGCTTTGTCTGGCAACACGGATGCTTTGTGGAACAGCTCCATCAGTTTAATCAGCACATGCATTATCTATCAGTTAATTGTTAGGAAAACTCTCGACTTAGCTTCTCGATTTTGCAGGTTTCTTTTCTTTCTTTCTTTTTTTTTTTTTTTTGAGTTATGGGGTGGGGGACCCAGACTCTTGTGCTTGCTAGGCAAGTGCTCAGCCCCTGAGCTACAGTCACAGTTCAATCAAAGTTCGCATGGATTACTAACAAGTAGTGTGTGCACGTGTGTGCGTGCGTGTCTGTGTGTGTGTGTATTGCTGGGGATTGAGTGCAAGGCCTTGCACATGCTGGGTAACTTCTCTACTATTGAACTACAACTTGTCATTTTACCCTCCCTCCCTCCGTCTTTCTTTTTCTTCCTCCCTTCCTTTCTCCCTCCCTTCATTCCTTCTTTTCTTCATTCTATTTCTCTGACAGAGTCTGGCTTTCTAGCCTAGGCAGGCCTTGAACTCATGATCCTTTTATCTTGCCTCTCAGGCTCTGGGATTAGAAGGCATAACTCATGCTTTCCTGACAGACATAGTTTCTTAACATATAACACTAATGAGA